AGTGAGGACCCTAGAAGAGCAAGGATGATCCGGGTAGCATAGTGAGGACCCTAGAAGAGTAAGGATAAACCAGGAAGCATAGTGAGGACCCTAGAAGAGCAAGGATGATCCAGGAAGCATAGTGAGGACCCTAGAAGAGTAAGGATGATCCAGGAAGCATAGTGAGGACTCTAGCAGCATAAGAAATGATCCAGAAGTTCAATGAAGGCCATAAAATCATCCTTCTTCCTATAATAGTCTAAAGATAGACACTTGATTTTAGTTAAAGGAAATTTAGGAAGAGCTCCACCTTCACACTCGATGAAGCATGATGATATCACTTAATCTTCTTTAGACCGTATACACGTTACCTTTATTTATCCCGTTACAAGCAAGTCGTCTTCATTTTATATTTGAATAACGTCACACGAGAAAATGCCAGAAGGGAATGTCTCATACATTACATTCTTATAATGCAAGTGTTGCAAAAGTTGCTGTCTTTTTGGTTCAGTTGACTTCATCAATGTTACACTTCCAGTAAATTTTACTTATTGTTCAACCGGAGGTCGAGGAAGCGAACACGTTCAAGTTTTTTTTCAACAATTTGCATTGTTCGATGTGAGAAATCGCCCCCCCTTTTGTTGCGGTTTTTCTCATTCAGATAATGAAACGACTCGAAAACTAAGGCTAGAGGAAACTGTTTTATTTTTGCATAATTAATTTCAGTTGTCACTGACCTCTTACACACAGGAAATAATACTTTCGAGATATCAAGATATCATCCATTGATACTTTACACTTGTTGCTTCATCCCATATGACAGTAGTCAGCATTTTGTGTTGCAAATACTGCTAATGCAAATGCCTCGTTACGATGCCTCTGTAGTAACAGCAGCTGTGAATACTTCTACAATAGTAACAGACTAATTTCTACAGTTACAGCTAATTTAGAAGTACTACAACAGCTCATGTAACAACATCTACAACACTAAGTATGCTTCTATAGAAACAAGAACATAATCTAGAAAGACAACAATTATATAAATTAATTTCTACAACAGCAGCATATTTATTTATGCACGCAACTACAGAAGCAGTAACAAATTAAACCAGGAATACAACTATAGTAACAAATTTATGGGATGAAACTCATTTGTGTATCGTGCTAGAACGTAACGAACTGGAAAGCTGATTAATTGTTATCGTAAAGGAGATTATCTGATCACGTATTAATTTAACAATAACTTTGTTACTGTAGTAGCATTATCACGAAGTAGGCTTAGTTACTATTGAAGATGGTAACTGGAGCATCCAGTCTTAATTAAACACCAACTTCTTTCGAATTCTACTTGTTGAAATAGTGTGTGATCCGATAATATATAATAGAAATTTATTGATACTATAGTGTTATTTTATCGTCGCCATCTTTTACGATTGTTATCGTAACGGCACAGATGGTTCCGATGTTTATATTGTAAGCAGCATCCCCCTAAATAGGTTAATTAAATATCGAGGTTGGATTCAATTTCGGCGTTTTTTTTTTTAATTTAAATTATGCTACTATAGTAACTATATAAAACATTGATCAAATTATTTAACAATGTTCCATTGTTTAAAAAGTATATATTGCACTGTTGTTCATCTAATAGTATATAATAATACATTAGAAGTATATAATTAACAGTATACATTTTGATACTATAGTAGCACTAACTGCTGTTACTGCTACAATGCTGCTGTTGTTTTTGTTGCTGCTATTGTTGCTACTACCACTTCTACTACTGTTATTACTATTACAGTAGCAGCTTAGTAACTATAGTAGCTACTCCTACTGCTGCTAAACACTATTAATATAAACCTAAATTAGTTTTTTTTGTTGGGAATAAAGTACAGTGAAACGGTGTGAAACACTAGAAGAAATCATTAATATAGCTGAGGTAATGTACAGGGTGGGGCAAATAAAAGTGGCCCGGACGAATGGATACGATTAGCTTTGATCCGCCTTCAGCAACTTGCTGACCAGGACCCAAAGGTGCCAAGAGATTAATGGTAGTCACTTTCAACACCTGCTATAGTCAGGTTAGTACTGTATTTCTCTGCTGTGTTTCTTTGTACCCTGGAACTCGGTTCTCCGGGCCACTTTTATTTGCCCCACCCGGTATAAATAATACCCTAAACAGTGATAGAATTGAAACGAGCTAGAGAAACAAGAAAGAAGTTAGTGAAACGGAAAGAAGAAACACACAAAAAGGTAAGAGAAAAAGCAGCATGAAACTAGCGAAACAACAGCAAATGATAGAACATTGTTGTGGATCCAACAAATAAAACAGTAATAAACGACAATGAATTGTTTCATTAGCGAAAATCTTATGAAACAGTAAGAAATTAATTGCTACTATAACAGTAAAAAAAACATCGCTTCACTAAAGTCTTTACACAAAGCTACAACGCAGCAATTTAAATTACAAAAAAACTGCATTAGAGAATTCAATTATCACGTTTGTTACTGATTTCTATAGGTATTATTATTATTAAGAACCTAGTAAAGAAGGTATTAGACTTTTAAAATTGTAGCATTGACAAATTATCACAAGGTCTACACGTTGCAAAACAGAAAAAAAAGGTTATAACCGTAGTTAATTGCGTTTCTTTCACTCTCAAGTTGCTAATTAAGTATTCTAATTAAGTATTTCACCATTAAAATTCCGTTTCGTCACCCATCACGCCAATGATATTAAGTTAATACAGGAATAACAAAGTGCTGTTGAAGTGTCTTCAGGATAATTCTTAAATCCACAAGACAAATATCTTTCTTTATAATTGCGACACTTCACTTTTTAATTTATTAAAATGTAGTCGTATCTATAAATAACAACTCGGCATATTTTTATGAATCGATGGAGCGTAAATTATGAAACTGTAAATGACAAATTTACGAGTGTTTTGATGATAACGAAATTCGTATTTTTGTGAAATAACCTTGTATATAGACGGCGATGCTACCCCAGTAACAAAAGGAATGGCCTCGTCATCCTTAACATCTATAAATAATTGCATATGTAGAATTTTCTTTAGGTGTTGTAGGCCTATCAATAGCCTTGTGAATATCTCTTGACGCTACGGGTAGTAACAATGATAACTTACTATTGATACTATAGGATAATATAGTAACAATATCAAATTTTTCTTTTAGATTTAAGAAAAATCATTGCATATGAATGAGTTTCTTGGTGCAAATTCCTCTGTTCGAATGGCCGCCTTGGTGCAAATTACTCTGTTCGAATGGCCGCCTTGGTGCAAATTNGTGCTTCAATCCTCTTTTTCTACACAAATATAAGAAAATAAGGGAAAGGAGTGATAGGTATGTCGCGACTCGTAAAACAAAAGAGAAAGGTGAATGGGGAGGGTGGAGCAATACACAATCGACTCTATATCTGACAGGCGATTAAATGGTCAGGACAGGTCCCGAGGCACAGATTCGTTGACCGAATTTTCTGAACTTTGAACTTATTCCCACTTAGCACAGCTTTATCTATTCTATAATTAATTATAAGAAAGTTTGTGTCACACTCTACATCACAGAAGAAGAAGAAGAAGAAAAAAAATATGAAGGTATTCGGAGATGTTGGTAATAATGAATGAGGCAGCACTTTTCTTTTATATACAAAAAATAATTAAAAATTTATAAAATATAATTTATTATAGATTTTATCACATTTTATAAGCAAGTTTTTAATAAAAATTACGCTTATAGGAGGAGAATTTAAGTTTTCTAACAGAACAGAAAAGCTTATAGGAGAAGCCCAACTTATAATTATAAAATTGATTTAAAAAAATAAATAAATAATTTAAAAATCATTTTATAAAGTCACGCTCAAGTAAACATGCTAAATAAATATATAAATGCCTCAGCAGTTTATAAATAGAAAAAAAATAAATAAAATGCAAAATTATAAAGCAAATTAAATAAATGATTAATTAAAAAAAAAAATACTATTTAACCTTATAAATTAGGGTCTTTATGATTACACCTATACAATTTTGAATTTTTATAAATATCCTAAGTTTCTGAGGCAAGTACACACCTTGAATTGCCTCACCACGGAGGCAAATTTGGGTATACAGGCTCAAAAAGAATGACAATATTTCATTTGCAAAGATTGCAACTCGTTTTAAGCGATTCCGAGAGGGCCTATGGAGGTAAAAACCTCATTTGACCTCCCCAAATTATGCCTCATAACCCGAAAAGTTCAGGTAGGAGCGCATAGTTTGCGTGTT